CTAAAATATGGCAACACAGAGTTTCTTTCTGTAGTAACTTTTGAGGATGCACATCTTTCACCTACAGTACATGGGGCAACTGTCTCAAGGATCTTCATCATACATTTTTGCTCAAAACATAACTCATCAATGAGAATTACACAACACTTCTTTACCTTACTAGGATTAAAGATAAATATTTTTAATAATTTAACAATTATTTCTGACCTAGTTGAGAATGACTTAAATATATATAGGTAAAAAACCCTATAAAACTGAAAAAAGATAAAGTATGAATTTATTTTCAAAATAAAATTTGAATTTTGTGCTAGTTTTCCATTTCCTGTTTGGCAACTGCTACGACTTCAGCAACAAAAATGGTTTTTAATGGTCTAAATTTTAAAATGTGCTAAAAACAGGTATCTATGAGCAGAAGAGGTTATTTCTCTTTGATTGTCTTGTACATCTGTGAGGTCATTTAAACTCCATCTGTACAAACAAACAATTTGATTATTTTCTTTTCACACTTAAGTATGTAGTCACTGGTCTTTGCACATCAAAAGACTGTCTTAACTTGTACCTCCATATTCAAATCAACCACATGAACAAATTTGACTTGCCTTCCAACCAAATGAGGCTGGATTCCCAATTGTCAGATGTGTTTCCTGACATGTTTGGATCTGTGATTTAATTTGAGGAGACGTTGACTGCTTTATGGAATTTGTTTGCTGTTTTCTCTGCCTTCTGAGTAGCTGATATTTTGTCAGTGACAGAAAATCTGCACTATTTATGGTTTTGCACGATAAAACTACAGCATCCCTATCACATGGCATCTTCTCCTAAGCCATCTGTCACAGAGGTCTGGCATTTTATGTGAATGCTGGTCAGGCAGACTTAACCCAAGTTTTTTTATTATGAAAAATGTCAGCAACTACAACATTTAGCATTTTACTTTACAGTGGCCATTAAACTTGATTACTTGTAGCTCTGTTTCATGGCTGTACTTAGATATCAACCACAAAGCCAAAAAAACACAAGGGTAATCATAGCAATCCAGTTAGGTCCTGGAAAGTTCAGCTGGCAGAGATGCAGTTAATATCTCTGAAATATAAGTAAGGTTTATTAATGGTGATACAAAATGTATTTGATATTATACAGATGGCGTAAGATGTTGTGGTTACTAAGTTATTATCCAGGATAAGCTGTACTGTCAAATTCGGGGCTTAAAACTATCACAGGAGATTAAACTATTTACTAAAAGGGGGCAGAAAGATATATCCAAAGCATCTTAGTATGAACATTTTAGAACTGTATTTACTTCCCATAAATATAATAAAGCAGATCTTACTTTAAGCTGGGGGATTGAAAATTTGGACTTCATCATTCAAGACAAGGATGTGAAAGTGTTTTTGACTTTTTAACATATAAAGACAATTGGCTTGATAGTTTCAATTTTTCATATGAAACGCAGACCACTGATTTTTCTAGTCCGGTGACCAGCATAGATATCATGTGGACATTAGGTATTCTGGACCATGTTTTAAAAATATTTAACATTAATGTTTAGGTGGAACCTCTCTTTTCTTTTCTTTTCTTTATTTGTAATTTGAATCTATTGATTTGTGTTTTAATGTCTGGAGCAGGAGGAAACAAGTTTGCTCTGTCTCTTACATGGCATCCATTCAGATATTCAAATATAATTATTGTGCCACCTACCAATTAGCTCTTTTCCTGTTCTATACATACTCATCTCCCTAAGTTGCTACTCACAAGGCTTGGTTTCCAGACCTTTGGTCATCTTGGTCACTCTTTTCCAGACATATTCCTGCTTGTTGATATATTTATCATCAGGAACTTAAATAATCACAACCGAAGTGAGAGTCCATTCACAAAAAACAGAAGCTGCCCTCACGTGCTGTACTAAGTCTTGGTTAGTGTTAACTAGGGCTTATCACGTTAATCATGAATTGTCCTTGAAGTGCTAGCCTTCCCAGATTGTGGACTGGGTCTCAGGATTTGGTCCAGTTGTAATCTCTGGAATTCCATACAAGTCTCCCTGTTGAAGAGGTGGGTGGTCTGACTATTATCTCAGAATCAGTACAACTAAATTAGTGATGATTTATGGAACTATTGCTATAGTATTTTTTTGTCTGCACTGATATCTTTTGTGATGACCACTGAGCAAACATAATAAAACAGGGGTCCCCAAACTAAGGCCCGGGGGCCGGATCCGGCCCCCCGAGGGCATTTATCCGGCCCGCGGGGTGTGGAGAAGGGGGGGGGAGGCGGCAGGCGAAGCAGCTTCAGGGACGCTTCCTCCTCCTCCTCCCTGGGCCCAGCCAGCTCTTCTCCTGCCTTCAGGGAAAGGGCCTGGTCTCATCCCGACAGCAGGAGAAGTGGGGCAAGGTGGCGAGCGAAGCAGCTTCGGGGCTGCTTCGTCCTCTGCCTCCCTAGGCCCAGCTGGCTCTTCTGCCTTCGGGGAAGGGGACACGAGCAGAGCCAGGCGGAGCAGCAGCCGCGTCCCGGGCAATGTGCACCTCCCGAGCCTCTGCCTGTCAGGGCGGGGACTCCATGGGCTTCCCTGCAAGGCAAGGAGCAGAGGGAGGGGGGTCAGTGCGGAGGGAGCGAGCGAGGGAGGGAGGGGTCTCCTTCCACCAGGGAAGCACCCGCCAAGACCCTCCTCCTCCTCTTCCTCCTACTCTGCTGGTCAAGAACCCCCTCCCTTCACACACACACACACACACACACAGACATCATCTGGGTTGTAGATTTTGGGCTGTATGGCTGTGTTCCAGAAGCATTCTCTCCTGATGTTCTCTCTTTAGTTCCATCCTTCCTTGTCTCTATCCTTCTTTCCCTCCCTCTTTCTCTTTTTCGTTCCTTCTCTCCTTCTTTCACTCTTTCACTTTTTTATTTCCTTCTCTCCTTCCTTCTCTACCTTTCTTTCTTTCCTTTTCTCCTCCCCTCCTTTCCCTCTTTCTCTCCCTCCTTCTCTCCTTCCTTCCGTCTCTACCCTTCTTCTTTCCTTCTTTCTCTCCTTCCCTCCTTGTTTCCCTTCTCTTTCTCTCTCTCTCCTTCTCTCTTCCTTCCTTCTCTCCTTCCTTTCCTTGTCATTAAGAATTTCTCCCTGAACAAAGGGACATTCTTTTCCTCTTTTTCCTTCTCTTCCCTCCTTCTCCCTTCCTTCCTTTTCCCTTCCTTTCTTTCCATTCTTTTCCCTTCCTTCCCTTCTTTTTTCCTCTTTCTTTTTCTTTCTCTCCCTCTCTCATTCCTTCTCTTCCCTTCCTTCCTTTCCTTTTTTCTCCCTTCCTTCCATCCATCCTTCTTTCTCTCCTTCCTTCCTTCCCCTTCTTTCCTTCCTTCTCTCCTTCCTCTCTTCTCACCTTCTTTCTTTCCTTTTTTCCCTTCTCTTCTCTCTCCTTCTTCTTTCTTCTTTCTCTCCTTCCCTCCTTCTCTCCCTCCTTCTTCCTTCTCTCTTTCCTTCCTTCTTTCCCCCTTTCTGTGTATGTGTTTTGTGTGTGTATATACATAGATGTGTGTGTTTGTGTATATATATGTGTGTGTGTGTGTGTGTGTGTGTGTGTGTGGTTTTGCGCATGCATTGTAATGTATTTTTTTGGGGGGGAGGTTGCTTTTTAAGTCTCTTCCACTGTGTTTTTCAGTGTTTTTATGAGTGATGGTCACTCGTTGGCCTGATGGTGTATTGTGTCCAAATTTGGTGTCAATTCGTCCAGTGGTTTTTTAGTTATGTTAATCCCACAAACGAACATTACATTTTTATTTATATAGCTTTTTCAAATTATAATCCGGCCCTCCAACAGTTTGAGGGACTGTGACCCAGCCCTCTGTTTAAAAGGTTTGAGGACCCCTGTAATAAAACATCCACCAAATCTTCTCTGAAAGCGACACACCATTTGATTATTGGCAGAGGCAGAAGACCTAATGTATATACATTTATATGAAAATCAATTCAGTGGGTTAGAGCTGTTTCAGATGCTGTGTTATATGAGAAAGAAACATATATGAACCATTGTTATAAAGATAACCTGAGATTTGGTAGTCCCAGATCAAAGTCTTCACTGAATTACAAGCTTTACTGGGTGACCTCTGGGCCAGTCACTTTTTTTTCTCAGACTAACCATCCTCATAGGCTTATTATGAAGGTAAAGCAGGGAGGCAGAAAACTCTATATGCCTTCTTGGGTTCATTTCAATCAGTCAGTCAGTCACTCCATTAATCAATCAAGGATACACATATCAATACTAATAAGAAAGAAAGAAGCAACATTCTAAGACATTTTGTGGTTTGGTCATAAATGCTGAATGTGAACCAATATGAAAAAGATTCTGCAGTTGCTCTGTACACTTTACAATAAAGCTTCATTTTTCAGTAAAGGACACAATCTGGCTCTTTATTACAGTAAGCCTTTTAAAAGATCTTTGTAATTCAAAACTCCATTTGAGATGAAGTGAGATTGTCAGTGATGTATAAAAGACCCATGGCAAATGGTCCTCATGTATCTGATTAGAGTATTCCTTTCCCTTCCCCCTTTGATACAGATGTTGTAATATCCCTCTCTTGTGGGGGAAGGGGTGGAATATAATAATAATACTGTTGATGAGCTAAGCAGTGAATTAATGCTTTTATTTGAAAGGGGGTCATAGTTCTCTGTAAAAGTGAAATGACTGAAGAGATTTAAAGCTAAACTTTTTTAAAAAAAACAAAGTCTGATTTAGCAGATAGATAAATAGATGGATAGCATTTAAGAATCATCTTATTCAAATTCTACTTACCATGTTTAAGTATAGAAATGTATGAGAGGGCATTATTGAGCTGTCACTTAAGTCTCCCTAAGAATTAAACATTAGTGGGTGTAAATCGAAAAGCTGGTTTTAGATTTAGATAAATTTAAATAAAAGCAGCATTTTCACTTATCCCTTAAAAGCGCCACATGTCTTGTGTTGTAATTACAAACTGTTCCCTCTGGGTTTTTTAAAACCCTCTTTCCTCTTGCATGTCAGGGAACTGATATTGAAGTCGATGAAAATGGCACCCTGGATTTGAGCATGAAAAAGAATCGGAACCAAGAAAAGTTTACGCCTCTAACTTCTTCCAGTACAACAGTTCCCACTCCTTCCTCCTCACCCTTCAAAACGGGAAGCATTCTGGTCAATGCCACCTTCTACCAGGCGTTGTGTGAAAAGGAAGGCTGGGATACACCTATCAACTATAGCAAGAGTCATGGAAGAAAAGAGGAAGAGAAAGAGGTAAGTTTTTAAATTGTCATTACACAGTGGTGATTGAATGGGAAATATGTGTAATCTAAAATGGTTGCATCTGTGAAGCACTTTCCTGCAGAAAAAGGCATTTTGAGGCATTTATACTAGGTCTTAGAAAATAATGAATGACCACATTCAAGGGATGCCATCACATGGACTTACAGATTTCTAGAGAAGCCTGGAGGTCTGTCCCTAGAGCGATGGCACTAATGCTTTTCAGTTACAAATTGTTCGGTGAAACTTTTACTCCTTCCCATCCCACTGTTTTCTTGAAGCATTCTTGGCCTCTTGTTGCCTGTTTCACATTCATCACACGGGGGAAGAACTGTCAAGTTCTCCCTGCTTTCCCCCTTTTTCTATCAGTTGGAAAACCTCTCTTTTTTCTTTCTCTTTTTTCTCTGCTGCCTCCCCAGTCAAACACTGTTCTCCTTTCCTCTGTCTACAGCAGCTCTTTCTTGTTTTGCTGCAACAAAACAAGACAGGGAAGGATACTTCCCATCCCACGTGCTTTTAATCTTTAAGAGCGAATTAAATCACTGTAGCAGCTCAAAAGATGATTGCTCACCCATGGTGGGAGCTCTCTCCTTCAGGGTCATTACAATGATGGATGGTAATACATGACAACCGGAAGTCGTTCAACCTCATGTGATCGGCTCCGTGCCTTTCCATCATTGAAATGAGCCTGAAGTGTCCTTGGATGAGGAAATATGTCAATGTGATGAAATCTTAGGGCATGAATATTGTCATGTTGTAAGCCACTCAGAGTCTCCTATGGGGTGAGAGAGAGCAGAATATAAATATAGTAAATAAATAAATAAATAAATAGTCCATACTAGTAAAAAAAACACCATGCACTCACTCAAAATCCAGCACTGGCAATCTTCATAATAAGCTCTGCACGGTTTATTTATTTATTTCACTTGTATATTGCTTTTCTCCTCCCAGCGGAGGATTCAAAGCAGTTTCCAGCATAATTATGGATACATTTAATGCCTCAAATACAGAAGCCTAACACAATGATAATAACATACAATTATCAATTAAATCATAAAACATGACATCATTTAACATTAAAACATGGAATCAAAAACATATCAATATAAACATTAAAATCACATAATCCAACTATTGTAGTTCAGATCATTCCAAATATGATATCTATTGCACATAATCCCTGATCATTCTTTGTACTGCTTACTTCCCAAAGGCTTGGTCCCTTAGCCAAGTTTTTACTTTTCTTCTAAAGGCCAGGAGGGAAGGCGCTGATCTAATTTTGTTGGGGAGGGGGTTCCATAGCTGAGGAGCCACCACTGAGAAGGCCCTGTCTCTTGTCCCCACCAATTGCTCTTGTGAGGGAGATGGAACCGAGAGCAGGGCTTCTCCAGATGATCTTAATCTCCGAGATGGTTCATTTGCTTTTTGAATCAAATAGTAATAAATAAGCAGTTTACTTTCTATATACTTAAGAAACTGCCACCAGTGGTGCCCTTCACACAAGGCAAGCTTCAAATGTGGGGTAGAGGACATATTTTACCATTTCTAAAGCCTCCATAAAATGAGGAGGTATTTTATATCTTTTTAAAAGAATAGCTAATGCTCCTTCAGGTGGTGTGGCTCCCACTGAAATAAGTGATTTAAAGGGGTGCCCCCCCCCTTAATTCAGTTTGATTGAAAGGGTATTGAGGTCAAACAATCCCAGAAAGAGTGATTTCTTAAGTCTGATCCCTTTAACCCAGGTCCTATTGAAGGATATAAGGGGAAAGGAGACCAGAAAGGATGGGAGGCTTCCCATCTTTCCATATGGAAAGATGTGTTGAACCAGCTTAAAGAGACTTCCATCCATGTGATGAGGGGGAAGCCAGGACAGTGCTGGCCTCATTTGGCAACGTGAAACTCAGGCTGAGGAAAGTAGAGAGAGTGAAGGAAGAAATAGCCAAGTGTCCCTTAAAACCTGAACGCAGCTGGCTTGAGGCTTGAAGGGAGAAATAGCCAGGGCCCCCTTAAAATCTGAACCTAGTCAGCTTGAGGCTTGAAGCAGCTTAGGAAAAAAAAGGGTGAGTGAAGGAGAAATAGCCTGAACCCAACCGGCTAACTGAGGCTTCCCTCAGTGTGATGAGGGGTATGTGGAAAAAGCCTGGATTGTGCAGAAAGCAGGCAAGGCGCCACCACTGGTGGGTGTGAAGAGGTCCAAGGAGAAAGGATCCCAGAAAGGATGGTTTCTTAAGACTGATGCCCTAAAAATGATGGGAAAGGGAGCCTTATAAGTTCCCCATTGCCACCAATGGGTGGATCTTCTTGGATCTTTTGGTTGCTGGATCAAAAAATGGATTATTTTCCAACCGAATTCAGGAGGCTCCTGAATAATGGATCGGGTGATCCACCAAAACCTGGATACTGAAAACAGAACGGGGTTTAACTGAATTGCATATCCCTAACTACCACTGCTTTTCACTAGCCACAGAGCTCTTTGCAAGCACTTGGTTGTCATGGTCATGTCTATTGAGGCCAGAATACGGTACTCATATAATTAGCAAGATTGGCAGATGCAACAGGTGACAGCCGGTGCTCATAGAAAGCTCTGTAGGCAGTGAGGTGTAACAGCAGCTGAAACATGTTGACTAGTGGACAGGTCAGCAAGGAGATGAGCTGGGCATGTCTAGATGGTACATGACCACTATTTCTAAAGATAATATCAAATTTGTGAATTCTGTTTCTGTTGGAAGTAGAAAAAAATGGAAATCTCAACACAGGCAACCAACATAATTTTGTTTCGTTTAAAGATCTTGTTTATTATATGTTTAGATTTCTCAAGTTCTGATATAGAATAATAATCACTGTCTCTAAAGATGTCATGTGTATCCTTATGCATCATAAATCTGAAGTGAGACAGTGCTTGAAGTTCTGTACAAGCCCTCCAAAATGCCCCCCAACCACCCAACGAACAATCCACTTCTGGTTTTGAATACCATTTTCAACTGGGGACTTCCAAGATAGACAATGTTGTTCTTTTTTGCCATTATTTTGCCAGAAAAAAGTCTAGAGCCCTAAACAGATTGGGTCTGTGTTATTTGAAGGACAGTATCTGCCTATATGAATTTTCTAAGGATGCTTTTCTCTCTGTTTCACCACCCTCAAAGATACTACTGGTGGTAAAGTGGGAAAGGGCTTTCCTCATAGCAGCTTCCAAATTTGGGATCTCCTTTCCTAGGCAAGTTAGACTAGCAGCCTCCTTGTAGACTTTTTTTACTTTGGCAGGTTATTGAATATATTTTAGGGAAAGCAGGCCTTGCATAATGTTCTGGGCTTTTATTCACATTGTGTTGTGTTAATAGTTTATGTTTTCAACTGGTTGTGATTTTCTGATAGTTTAATCCTTTTTTAAAACTTTAGATACTGTAAATTTGTAAACTCTGAAAAATCCATGATATAAATATCACACTTTACCTAGCTTTGTTCTACAGTGTACTTTAGTGAAAATCTTCCTTTGTGAGCAGCTATCACCTGACTTGAAAATTCTAAGGAATACAGCAGTTTTTCCAAAAGTTTGTTTTGTTTAAACATTTGTTTCAGACAGCCCATCTCTTAGCCCCTCCAGGCTGGATCTAACAAATGTAAGGCAAAGCCAAAAGTAGAAAACTTTTCACCTACTAGATCTTTTGCCTAATAGCTACATGGGCCAAACAAAAGGTACTGATCTTGAACTGAATGTGAATGATCCAGATTATGTATAGCCTGTTTTGCAGCATAAGTGATGCTTCCAGCTTTTAATCCATCTCAAATAGAATAACAGGCAGCTCCAGAAATTCCAGAGTGACCCCTGGTGTTTTTGATGTGTAAACAATTGAATCTAGTACAATTTAGTGTCCATATATCAAAAAGACCCACTGTTGTTTCACCAGCCAGAAGCAGCTCCACAGCAGTACCTTTCTGGTGGTAATGCTGGTGATCATATGGCTGGGCATCCTGTTGTAAACTTACCAGAAGCAATGTTTCCAGCAAGGATGTGTTTCCAGCAAGGATGTGTTTGCTTCTAGCTTGCAAAACAACATAGTGGCTGTGTCCTCCAGGAAGACATGAGGCTGGTACCAATGCACTGCCAGGCCAACTGGCCATGTGCACTGGAGAGTGTCATCAGGGCACTTCCATGTCAGCATATATGGACTCCCCATGGTGTGCACAGGACAGCTCTGGAATAGATTACTCAGAATTATTCCATCAAATCCAAAGCTTGGAAAAAGTACAACCAAACATTTGAAAGTCCAAAGATTCACTATATCTTCTTTAAGAGAAGCTGGAGGAAGGATGACAGAGGAAAATGTGTGTGAGGCAGCACTGAGCACTACCTGTCTGTGTATCCTTTGTACACCTGAAATTTTCAGTTTGCTGTAAATGGTGCAAGGCTACAACATAGCACAGTTTGTTCCTCTCAGGCAATGGTAAAGTTCAAGCATTAAACAAACCAAGGCAACATTAAAAGTATAAGCCATATCCCATCCACGCTTCTCTGTTCCTCACAAAGACACTATAACACAAAGGAAGCATCAATATGCATGTCAACATGGCATGTCAATTTGGCCTACAATAAAGACTGAATAGAAAACAAAAATGCAGCTGTGGGCCCATACACACGCCTTCATAAATAAGATAAATATTTACATAAAGTGAATCATGATTGGTAAGAGATACTGTACTAAATTATAATTTAAAACCTGGTGATTTCCTTGATTTTTGTTATGCCCTTTTCATTTATGTGTTTATTGAGTATTGGCAGTATGTTTTTTGTTTGTTTATTTGTTTATTTTCCCCTCCCTCTATCTTTTTGGCCATGTTTGCCCCACAAATATTGATGCCAAATCTAGGCAAAGTGGAGTGTTAGTTGGACTTGCTTTTATGATGAATAATCAGCATCGGGCCCTTATAATGCCAATTGAATGACATGTTGATAAATTAACAGGATTCAGCACTGTTTATTCAGCTTTTATCTTTCCATATAACTTAGTAACAGTGCACACAAAATGGCTGCCAGGTGGAGGCCATATTAGATGCTGCCTGATGGCCTTGTTTTCTCACAGCAAGCTGTTTGTGACTAGTATCTTGCATCTCAGAGAATTAGGTTATTGATTCCTAAACTGGTGTAAAGTTTTTTTTAAAGGGGGGTTGTATTGGAAAAGCCTCTGTTATTTTGGGATTGTTGCAACCATTCTATTTGCTAAACATTTTGAATAGAATCCAACAGTGTACTTAACACAGAATCAATTACCTTCCTTTCCATCTCCAAATATTTTGTGTTCTTTAAAACTTGTTTCAGATGGCAGAGGAACTTAAACAAGTCAGATGTGATTGAAGAGGGCATTGAATGGGAGGGTTTCATTGCAAAAGTGGCAAATGAGTTGGAAACTTTGGCACAGGTTTGGAGTAAATCACTAAATGTTAGAGTTGGAGAATTTACTAAGGGACCTTCCACACAGTCCTATATCCCAAAATATCAAGGAAGGAAATCACACATTATCTGAGTGTGGACTCAGATAACCCAGTTCAAAGCAGATATTGTGGGATTTTCTGCCTTGATTTTCTGGGATATAGGGCTGTGTGGAAGGGCCCTAGGAAACTTGGTTTGAATGCCCTTTACTCAGTTTTAAAAGTGATGCAAAACACAGGAAATTTATTTTGGTGGATTGAAAAATGATTTCAGAACTTTGGAATGTTTGATTCTATGTTTGACTGGAGTTGTCCATGTAAGCGCCCCCGAGTCCCTTTGGGGAAATGGTGGCAGGATATTAAAATAATAATAATAATAATAATAATAATAATAATAATAATAACAACAACAACAACAACAACAACCAACAATGCATCTTTTTCTCAATTAGGGGGGCATTTTATTTCTGCAAAACAACCACAACAATTGGGCACAGGTTTAAGTGTTCTACATTTCAGAGTCTGTCCTTAACAAAGCTGTTATGGGCCAGACAGTCCCACTTTAAGACTTTTGCATTTCATATAATTTATATATTCAATGAAGAGAATATTGGAAATGTTACCATGATCCCTGTCTGAGATTTAATTCTTCCAAACAATACTGGATATCAACAATAGACCTGGGAGGAAAGTCTTAGTGGATTGTAAGGATGTCAGCTGCCCCTTTGGATAAAAAGATAATTATCCTATCTGTTTCAAATGTATTCTCATCTTATTCATAAGCACAACAGTTGGTCAGTTTTGTTGGCAATTTCAAAAAAAATATTGTGTTCTATGCATGCTGAGAAATGGCCTGTCCAGATGCCTCTTTAAAAGGAAAAAGATCATGAATGTGGAAAAGGCCAACACTCTCCAAAAAGAGGAAATGCTGAGAAATAACTGAAGCTGTCAGTTCAGTTCAACTGTCATTTCTCCAAAGATTTCAGGGCTTAGAATGTTAAAAGTGCCAGATGCTATTATCTGTTATTTGTGTTGTCATTATGTGGTCTTTGTAGAAATCAATATAAATGTCCATCTGTACATTAATGGAATTTCATTTTCGCTGCCACCCCACCCCCTATATCTGCTTAGGAACAAACAGACTGGAAAGTATCCAAAGAAGGATGCAAATACTTGAGTTTCTCAAACAACAGCCTGTGCATACAGAAGTGCAATTTTGTTTCCATTTTGAAAACAAAATTGAAGGCTGGGAGCTTGGTTGCAAACTGTTTTAACTTTCTGAATTATGACCACTCTATCTTGTTACAATGAAGATTACATTGAAACAGCCGCAGATCCTGTATTGAAGAATAAAACCATAAGTTACATTGAAGTAAACACAATAAGTTTATTTCAATTGCAGTAGTAGCCATGTTGGTCATGAAACAAATTCCAAAATATGCATTGTGCTAATTAGGCCTAAAAATATGCTTGTCTTCTTAGAATAGCTAAATACGTATTTGTAGGCATTACTGAAGAAAGCAATGGAATAACATTGCTTGGAATAACAAACTCTTTTCTTATCTCAGAAAGATCCTGCGAACTGGCCTGAAAATCTGGAGGAAAAGAAATACTCAGATGTCTCTGTCCCAAGTCCCAAACCCAAGATCCATTCACGGGATCTTAAAAAGGAACTCATCACGTGAGTGCAAACATTTGGTGGTTTTCATTCTTTTTCATTTTGGCTTTCAGAACAATCAGGTACTTCATAGTGCTAATTCAGAAAATCTGGACATATTATAGACTGTGAAGCTATGGGTGCCCTGACATTTTCCATAGTCTCTAATTATAGTGAAACCTTTGGGTAAAATATATACACTTTTGTATCAATTCCATGTACTGTGAGGCCCACTTGATGGAATTGCCAAAAATTGGATTGCACAAGCAATGGTCAATTGGTGAAAGCTTTAGGCATGCCTGTTGTTTTCTGCACTTCTATGGGATCACTCCTCCTTCAGCACATATAAACTAGCAAATGAACAAGAATATGTTACTGTTTACAGAATAATTCAGAAAGAGCAGTCGTTGGGTATAAGTAATCATAATTCTGTAACAGGAGTTGAGTGGCACATTGGCCCTATATGGGTCCTGGGCCAGAGCAATACCCTTTTCCCCCTACCCCAGCTCATTTTATATCTAGAATTTCAATATGGGAGTGACATTATAGAGAGTTATAGAAGACTGCCCAGTTGCATGAAAAGTCGTGGAATGGGGAGGCTTAAAGGCATGTATGGAGGCACACATAGTTCACGGGCTGCATGGTCTCAGTTCCTGTAGCGGATCTTGGTGTCAGTCCTAAGTCTGATTGTTGCTGTTTTGAGAAGGTGTAGTAGATCTAGAGTATGGGATATCAAAGTGTTTTTAATTAGCAGTGACAGTTGTGTCATTTGCCATTCCCATTAGATGACAGATAGTGCCCAGGGGGCAGGGGTATTTTTTTAATGGCCATGGTCCACCAGCTACATAAGAGACCTGGAAGTGTTAAAGATGAAAACTATTATATTTGTTCTTGCCTTATGGAACTTAAAATGGAAAATATCTTCAACTTCTAGATGTTACAGCTTGGAGGACCAGATTTAATGCTGCATACATCAACTTTATTTCAAAGATTTCTCACTATATTGTACCCTTGTTTGTATTTTAAGAACAAAAATACTTAATAAAATGAATGGAAGGAGAAGTTCCTCATTTTTCAAAACAGCTGTTTTTGAAGGATTTTTAAAAGATCTCCTACTACATGATTTTTATTCCCATTATCCACACAATTTAATTTACTTTAATAGCTGGAGCAAATGGCTCATCTTAATATTAGGATGGAAAATATGGAGCTTTTGGGACATTTGGGGCTGCAGCTCCCAATTTGTTGTCATGTTCTATGCTGGCTAGGAATGGTGGAAATTACTGTTCAGCAATGTAAGAAGGAAGTGTTCAATTGTTCTAGAGTTTTAATAACTGCAAACTATGGCTCTAGCCACACTACACCATCAGAACTTTATATGATTCCACTTTAACTACTAGGAAGGGTATTTAGAATTCTCTGCCAGAGAAGTCTAGCATATCTCGAAATTGCAAACTAGGGATGGAAAGAATATTCAAAATATAAAAACGGTTGAAAAGCATGTTTTTTTTTGAATGTCAGGATATCCTGATTAGAAGAACCTTGGACTGATAAGAACCTTCATAGTTTGGGATTTATTTTGAGAAAAATGCACACATGTATGTTTCTGACAGAAAACCATGTTTTTTTCTGCAATAAACAGCATTTTCCTTTTTTTAAAAAGCTGTGGACAATCTTTTTTCACATAATAAATCTCTAACTTTAAACAGTCTGAAAAACTGTTCCATATTTAAAGAGAAGAAGACTACTAAAATTACGTAGAATCATAGAGTTGGAAGAGACCTCGTGAGCCATCCAGTCCAACCCCCTGCCAAGAAGCAGGGAAATCGCATTCAAAGCACCCCCGACAGATGGCCACCCAGCCTCTGTCCAAAGAAGGCTTTTTTCCCACCACACTCCGGGCAGAGAGTTCCACTGCTGGACAGCTCTCACAATTAGGAAGTTCTTCCTCATATTTTGGTGGAATCTCCATTCCTGTAGTTTGAAGCCATTGTTCCACATCCTAGTCTCCAGAGCAGCAGAAAACAAGCTTGCTCCCTCCTCCCTATGACCTCACATATTTATACATGGCCATCATGTATCCTCTCAGCTTTCTGTTCTGAAGGCTAAACATTTTCCAGACCCCTGATCATTTTAATCACCCTCCTCTGGGCACATTCCAACATCTCCCTTCAATTGTGGTGTCCAGAATTGGACACAATATTCCAGGTGTGGTCTGACCAAGGCAGAATAGAGGGGTAGCTTCTTCCACTGAAGAATTAAATAAGTATTTACTAGAAACCCCAGGGTGGCATAGGATTCAACCATGCAGTCAAAGATAGAGCTATAACTGTATGGGTAAAAGTGCCCTTAGTACAGATTTTGAATCATTGATAATTTTTGCTTTGAACACAGCATACTGATATGCACTCTAAACACATTTATCCACACACTTTAATTCTAAAGCACTTAAGTATTGCTATATAAAGAGTCTAAAGGTAATGCTGAGGGCAGAGGAAATTTGCTAAATATTCACCGGCAGAAGAGGTAGTTAGTGAACAATACAAATGGCTCCATCATGAGGAAGTACCGATAATGACAAGAGCAATTGTAAAGAAAAATTCTACTCTGAGGCTCAATTACAATGAACTTTCCTCATTATAAATATAGATTGCATATTTTGAAATATTAATAGCCTCTCCAGTGATTATATTATGCCGGAGCAGCTGTATGACTCAGAGTGAAATAAGTTGTCCAAATGACGTATTACTGCTTAAAGGAATATTGTGCATTCTATGTCTATTTTTAAAATATTGCTTGGAGACCCACATTGCAAGGTTTAAAGAGCAAATAATTTTGCTTCACAGGGCATAACTGAAAATAGTTCCTTGGGCTAAAAATACCAAACAGAGACCAAACATTTCCAGATTTTAGTACGCAATATAAATAAATAAATAGGCTTAAAGAAACAAGGGATTTTTAGTCTCCCTGGATTAAAAAAAATGAAAAGAAATGTATTAGTAAAAATAGAAAATTGATATATTTTAGGACCTTCTTGAAAAAAATGTTGTTTGTTTTTTGTTTTGTTTTTTGCATGATATGAGGTCTTAAAGCTGACTGAAGTTCAGTCTTCACCTCCATTACTTCTTTGGTCGCAGTCATGGTCTGCTAAATCATACATTTCTGAATCAAGAATCTGTAGTGTGACCATGTATTCTGCCCTTTCTCCACCCCCTTCTTCTCCCTTGCTGCCTGCATTCAATGTTATTTGTTTATCAAGACACATTTTTCAATTGCACCTGATGTAGGAGATCCGGGTTTTCACCTTTATTTTAAAATGAGGACATGAAATCAGGATCACATTCTGCTTTCAGTTCTTCTTTTGTAATATAGATTAAACCACACTTTCCTGATTTGGAAGTGATTGAAACCATGTTTTAATCATAGTCTGTCAGTACTCTGAAAACAGTTGAAAGACAGAAGAGGAGAGGACACAGTTACTTTTTAACTGTGGCAGATGATCCTGGTGGCCACTCAAAACAGGAGATCACACCAGCCTTTAATATATATCACAAGATCTTACTCCCAATTCATATTCCAAAATCTGTTCTGTTCAGAATACTAGCCGTTACCTTTATGCTTGATTCCCACTACAATAAGGACAAACAATCTTTGGGTACAGGACTCAATTTTTGGGCCTCAGTAGTCCACAATCGTCTTCCTCCAAAAAAAATGTAAGCAGGGAGAAGTTTGTGGGGGAAAGGGAGCAGGTGAGGAACAGGAAGCTTCCAGGTGTAGCAATGTCTGCTTTTGAGAGGCAAGAAACAACAAAACAGGGGTCCAGGGGCTTCAGAAACAGCTACTGTATAGTTGGCTGAATATAGTTCATAGGCAACACAATTCTTATTCCTGGCTTGTACTCATATAATCCTGCCCAACCAATATGTTTTGGTGAGTTCACAACTAAGCTAAAAGTGCAGACTTACCAATAAGTTTAATCAAAATTTGTGGTACTGGCCCTATCACTATGCCATTCCCACCCATGGGAATGGGTGGGAATGGCATAGTATGCTCTTAAAGACCTGGATGGTAATCCCACCCCCACCCCCCCAATCAAGTTGCAGATGATGTGGACTTTAAAACATAAATATTTTAATAATGCCTGATTTTTTATTCTGTTACTAGAGTGAGATAGTATTTTCAAACTGTGGAATATTCTATTTTATGATGGTTTATGTGTAAATCGCCTTTTGTAAAGGTGTAAACCATTTATATTATCCATAAAAACAGTAGACAGACGTCTCATACGAATATGAGAAAAATGTATAAAAATCTAAATAAAAGAAAACACAATAATTAATTATTTGTTGTTGCCCTGGAAGACATTTAAAAGAACATCCCTGTTACTAAACAGTGCTCTGTCTGACCTTAGTGATGAACTTCTAAATGTTCTTAGAAAGGAAGAAAAAAGGTAGATAATCCAAGTACTTACTTCATTTACCCTTGTATCTAAACCTGGGGCCCATTATCTATATAGTTATAGTGCTATGTTTCCCCTTGGATTATGGCAGTTAAAGTGCAATCATGGGACTACAACTATGTAGTGTGAAAGGGGTCCTCTTTAACATTTGGCTTATCTGTAGCCTCCCCAAAATGTCATGACGGCATCTGAATGTTACCCAAACACCATCAAAGTGTCCTGTGGCACCTTAAAGGAAGTCACAAGACTGACTTATTCCTTTCTCTTTCTCTTTCTTTTTGCTGCAAAAGACAAACATGGCTACATCTCTGGGATGGCTACCCTTCTGGACTAACAAATGTATCATGGCATGAACTTTTGTAAGCAAGACCTAACTACATGAGATGTTGTCTATGAAAGCGATTCATATAAAAACTATCTGACTTATGTACAGCCAATTTTAAGGTGTATTTTAAACAGAGGGTTCTGTTCTCATAAAAACAAGTGTTGGGTGGCATCTTGAAGATTAACAAGTCTTGTTATGGCATAAGCTTTTGTGAAAATAACCATCTTATGAAGTGTTGATCGATAATCTATTATGCACATGCTTATATATATGCTGGGGTACATTGTGATCAGATGATTTACAGGAATTGGAAATGCTAAAAATAGGGATATTGAACTGAATCGTGTCCACTACCAACCTAATAGATGAGTGATAACTAGTGGTCTCAGATTTCATGGCCTGGCCTGTCTCCTCTAGGCTTCAAGGTAAAGAGAAGATATGCAGGGCAAGACCAATGTCTTGGAAAGTCTGAATTTATATCCATATATTCTCATATTTGTAAATTTTCAATACTTTGTAGCTGTGCTTACTTAATATATCATGCTTAATGACACTAATAGGGGCTGCCCTTGTAACATCCCTTCCAATATCAATGAAATTACAAAGAGTTGTTCCTAAGTCTAAGGTAGCGGTGCTGAAAAGTCAGGATCTAGGATACTCCTGACCTGACAACCAGTAATAGTAGAAGTAACAGATATTCTTGGACCAATGTCACATGCATCTTTAAAAAACAGAAAACAAAACCCAACACTTTCCCTTCTGTTTAGAGCAGGAAAGATCCACTCCTGTATATTAACTTGCTTTTCGCCTCCTTAGGTTTTAATAGATACAAGTTTTCTTATCATATTAAATGTTTTTATGACTGCAAGAACATATGTGCTATGTTTCACCTATTGTTTTGTTGATGGGCATCGTTAAGTTATTTCCATTCTTTGTACTTTTTTGCATTTGCATTCATCCCTATATTCACTTATTTCTTTCCTTATAATTACTCCTAGCACGATCTCAACCAAATTTTGATAATTTATTTAAGCTATCATTAACTACCTTTCCGCCAATTTACATTGCAATAGCAGCAATGGCTGACATAGTGGAAACAACCAAGTTTTAACGTAATCCACCAAAAAACTTGAATTTAAATACAATTTACGATGTTTCCAGGTTATAATAACTATGATGATTTGTGCTTGCTTTAAAAGTTTATACATTAATTTCTCCTAAACTATCAAGGTTTTTTTTAAATAACTAGGTACCAGATTAAAGGTATTTTATGTAGTTTCTAAAAATCTAATAATATGTATGGATCATAGATCTTGATTTTTAGATATTCCAATTTAAAGTGAAAATATATCTATAAGAGACCTTTAAAAATGTTGTATCATTGATTCTAATCAACATTTTTCATAAAATCTGAACATAATTATAGCTTTTATTATGTAGTTTCATTTGTTTCTCACCCCATGTAATTATCTTTAATAGTTTTTGAAATATTATTTTAAAACACCTGAAAGTTATCACATCCCTGCTCTTCCTCATTTCAGAACTGTCTCTTATGTCCGCCTTCTTGCTCCTCCCACTGGAGTATAAAAGGGAGGCATGAAAGCATCTGTGGGCCATTCCAAACACAGCTGTCTTATGATGCAATTGTCTGCTACCTTGAGTTGCTGCACTGAGACTTTTAGCCCTGTTAGTTGCTGTTAGTGTTTCCTTTCATCCACCTGATTCCAGAAGATGCTTAAACATCTATCAAAGCAACTGAACATTTTTGAGTTCATGACAAAAAAAAGTAAAAGCCAAATATTGAAGACCAAGAAGGCAGCTGGTTCAGAACCATTGCCACAGCTGGTACTGATGAAGACCCCAGAACATGTACATCTGGATTGCAGGTGAAAACTGAGGAAACTGGAAATTGAGGTGTCTACCACAGGTTCGTCTAATCCAAGTCCTGCCAAAGAAACCATGGAACAGGAACAAAGATAAGAAGCTGTGTCATTTTTAGTCCTTGGACTTTATATGAACAAGACTGTTTCTGATAACCTAGTGAAAGCTCAATTAGTGCAAAATCCACAGACTTTATTGCCAGGATATGTATTTCCTGTGGATAAGAGACATTTAAATTTTAAACCCAAATGGTTAAATAGATTTTTCCTCATTTCATGTACAAGGTGTACTCTGTAAGTAAGTACTGTGTGGTGTTTGGAGGAGAAAATGGGGATAAATGTGGCCATCAGAAGATTACTGCATTGGTTGCTAAACAATTTGTGCGATGGAAAAATGCAATACAAGTCTTCAGTGGACATCAAAAAACAGAGTACAATTAGAAGAACTTGTACTTGGCTGAAAAATTCTTGCTAATTCACAGTGGAAAACGTCTTGCTGTAACCAGTCTTCATGATAAAAGAAAAAAGAAGAAAGAAGAAAGCAAAAAGAAACTTTTGTCAATTTTAGAAACTACAGTCCTTTGTGGTTGTCAATAACTGGTTTTAACAGGAAACAATGATTCAGGACCTATTAGCTGTGAAGAACCTTTGCACAATGATGGTAATTTTAGGACCTTGTTGGGATCTTATGCCAGATCCGGAGACACTGACCTGAAAGGCCCTCTCAAAACTGCAGCTATGATTGCTCAGTGTACTAATCCTCAAATACAAAATAAAGGGGTGTGCAAAACGGCAGAAATCTGTTCAATTTTTGGTTCTGTTTTTGGGGAGATTCTCGGAGGTTAGGAAGGAGGCCGTTCAGATTCGTAATTTGAAACCGTGAGTTCCATTTTTATTCCAGTAAGATTCAGTAAGAGGCTAATTTCTCCATCATATTTAGGGCTATCAGGATGAACCTTGCTACACTTATAGGACACATTAATGGCTGTAAGCCGATGGGGTTTTTCCCGGTCTGTTTCCAGTGGGTCAGATGCCGGATCTCCCAAATTATCTGAAATCTGAATCTACCAACGGAATTTTGCATGCCACTAGAATGAAATAATAGACATTTGTAGTAGCAAGATAATTGAAAAAAATGTTGAAAGATGCAATGCATGGTTTTTTTTCTGTTTTGGGAGATGAAACTTTGGATGTGAGTACCTCAAAACAGTTATCACTCTCAGCAATGTATGTTGATATTTAAGCTTCGGGAATAAGAAAAAAACTTTATAAGCTTTGTGAAGATAAATAATATGAAAGGTGGAGAACTTACAGGTTTTATCTTGAAAACACTTGAAAAAATTGGGCTGAACTTCCAATACTTGTATGGACAGGGTTATGATGGAGCTGCTAATATTAGTGGTCACATTTGTGATGCACAGGCAATTATGTCACAGCAGTATCCAAAGGCTGCATAATCCACTGCAGTGCTCGCTCACTAAATCTGACCTTAGCAAAAACTTGCAGCATTCCACTTGTCTGAAACTGCCAAGGAACAATATCATCTGAATGCAATTTCTTCAGAGCATCATCCATCAGATAGGAACTGTTGAAGAAAAATATAAAAGACTGTTTCTCTGAATCAAGAACAAAGAACCTGTTGCTGCTTTGTTAATCCTGTTGGGTTGAGTGACATGATGCAGTTTATGTTTTGTTGAACTGTACAGTGTGGTGGTGAGAACACTTGAAGAACTAAAAGCGAGTCTTCTGTACAAGAGTGACACTTCTTCCCAAATTGGACACCTTCTGTTAGCTGTTCTGAATGCTGAATTTGTAGTAATCATACACATGCTAAGAAAGTTTCTGTCATTATCTCTTCAGTTTAACAAAACATTACAAAGGTCATATTTAATTCTTAAATATTTGAAAACATAAGAAGCAGAATGGGGCAAGAAAGACTGACTGTACTTGCACTTTTGAATGTCCACCATAGTTTATCGATTGAGCCTGATTTTTGTCAAATTGACACAATTTTCAAGTGTTTCCAACAGGTATTGTGGTATTCTTTTGTAATCACCAAATTACCAATTAAGAGTTATTTTCAGGTTTTTAAAAGAAGCTTTGTAGCTAAAATAAAAATTTTATTTAATCAAGCCCATATAAAAATATAGAATGTCATAGAATTTAAATTTATTTATTTATTTACATTATTTCTATCCTGCCCATATCAGCCCAAAGGCTAAATTATTTTGTGTTATGGACCAACTCTTCATGATTCGGTAAAAAAAATTAAAAACTGGTTTCCACATACACACACACCAATTGTTTTTCCTGGCTATGGACCAGCTTGCTACCATTCATATTCATTTTTATTGTCATGATATCATTTGTATTATTGTTGAAAAATATACTATTGTGGGGGGATCCATTCCAGATTACTATCACAAGGCCAGTTCCTACCTGAACAAGTTAGCATTTCTGCACATAGGAATGTACTTCAGTAGACAACAACAGTGGAGAGACCACTAATATATAGTTATTGGTATATTTATTTTACAATGTGCTAGAAGTTGTAGTTAGTATATTGATTTTGTAATTAAATAAGACCCCTTTAATCGAAGTGACCATACAAGTGTAATTTCCCTTCATTTTCTTTTGATAGGTGTCCAACGCCAGGTTGTGATGGCAGTGGTCATGTGACAGGAAACTATGCATCACACCGCAGGTAAAAGGAAAATGTGGGAGACATTAACAAGGAAATATTTTTTAAAGTATTGTAGAAGGCTTTCACGGCTGGAATCACTGGGGTGTTGCATGGTTTCTGGGCTGCATGGCTGTGTTCTATAAGCATTTCCTCCTGATGTTTCGCCTGCATCTGTGTTTGGCAACTGAAACTGGCAAAACAAGTGTATATACCTGTGGAATGTCCAGCGTGGGAGAAAGAACCAATGTCTATTAACCAAGTGTGAAGGATGCAATTAGCAAGCTTGATTTACAAGTGTTTGAGTGGGATTCATCCATTAGCATGCAAGTAACTGATTGCATAATCAATAGTGAGGGCTAGAACAGTGGTTTTCAACCTGGGGTCCCCAGATGTTTTTGGCTTACAACTTCCAGAAATCCCAGCCAGTTTACCAGCTGTTAGGATTTCTGGGAGCTGAAGGCCAAAAACATCTGGGGACCCCAGGTTGAAAACCACTGGCCTAGAAGCAGAAACAAGCCCTGGAAATCACAACAAAAATCCCACTATATGGTTCTGTTATGTGGGTGATACATTCACCATTTCAAACATGAAGAACTAAATAAGTTTTTGGACCATATTGACAACATCCATCCATACATCCAATTTACTATGGAAAAAGAAAATGAAGGAAAACTGTCATTTCTAGATATCCTGGTCATCTGCAAGCCAAACAAACAATTGGACTACACAGTATACGGAAAAACTACACACACAGCTAGATATCTACATAAAAACTCCAATCATCATCCAGGACAATAAGGAGCACAATTAAAGTTCTGGTGTACTGTGCAAACAGAATCTGTGAATCCCACCCTCTTCAAGATGAACTAGATCACTTAAGCTAGGCTCTACAGGCTAATGGTTACTCTTCTGCGGACACCAGAAGAGTTGCAAGACCTAGAACAAGCCACAGAAATAAAGATGAAGAGCCACCTAGAGGGAAAGTGTTCTTATCATACATCAAGGAATCCACTGACAGCATATGGAAGCTGATGAAGAAATATAACCTATAAACAATCTACAGACCCACTAAGAAAATTCAACAAATGCTATGGTTGGCAAACAATAAGAGGGATCCTATGACCACTGCAGAAGTCTACCATATATCATGCAGCTGTGGACAAGTCTATATAGGGACCACCAAACGCAGCAACCAGACATGAATCAAAGAACATGAAAGGCACTGCAGACTAATTCAACAAGAGGAGTCAGTTATAGCAGAGCACTTGATAAACCAAGTTGGGCACAGAATATTATTTGAAAACACAGAAATTCTGGACCACTCTGACAACCACTTTGTCAGACTACACAGAGAATCTATTGAAATCCACAGGGCAATGAATGGATCCCACTCTTCACACTTAATAGACATTGGTTCTTTCTCCCACCCTGAACATTCCACAGATATATATACTCAACTTGCTTTAGCACCATCAGATCCTCTGAAGATGCCAACCACAAATGCAGGGAAATTGCTGCTAGAACATGGACATACCGCCACACAGCACCCCAGTATAGAAGTTTGTGTGTGTGTGTTTTGAACAGTGGGAGTTATGAGTTGGGTTGAGACATGCCGAGCTCCTCAGCTAGTCAAGGTTTAGAATGCCTATAGCTTTACCAATAATGCATCATTATAAAAATTATAATCTGAAATTTGGAGTATTGTTTTGCTATTTTGGCATTGCAATCTCACTTAATAGTGATCTAATGAGAGGCGAGCCAAGGCAGATTTTGGTGGAAAATGTAGGGTCCAAGGAAAGAACATATTGGGTCCTGCCCTGGTCATTAATAGTACTAGTGGTATTATTATTATTATTATTAACTTTATTTGTACCCCGCTAGCATCTCCCGAGGGACTCGATGCGGCTTACACAGGCCGAAGCCTCAAAACACAATACAATAGAAAACATAACACAACAATAGCAAAGCAAATCAAACAATAAGCGATAACGACAATAACAATACATCGAAACATTATTAAAAGTTGGCTCGGCCGGCGCGATGGGGTACCAGGGTTAAAAGTGCTGAAATGGTAGGGGCACGTGGGATTAAAAGTGCGGTGTGCAGCAGCAATTAATTATGCTAAGGTGCTACTAGGACTTGGGTGGGGATTCCTAATCTGAGAAGGCACAGCGGAACAGCCAGGTTTTTAAATTCCTTCTGAAAGCAGCAAGAGTAGGGGCCTGTCGGAGATCTTTTGGGAGGGCGTTCCAGAGTCGGGGAGCCGCCACAGAGAAGGCCCTGTCTCGTGTCCCCACCAAGCGCGCTTGCGATGTGGGTGGAATCACGAGCAGGGCCTCCCCAGATGACCGGAGCGAGCGCGTGGGTTCGTAGATGGTGATGCGGTCACGCAGGTAGGGTGGTCCCAAACCGTTTAGGGCTTTGTAGGTGAGCACCTGCACCTTGAATTGGGCTCGGAAAATAAATGGCAGCCAGTGGAGCTCCTTAAACAGAGGGGTAGACCTCTCTTGATAATGAGCCCCAGTTAGCATCCTGGCTGCTGCCCGCTGGACCAATTGGAGTTTCCGAGCCGTCTTCAAGGGCAGCCCCACGTAGAGCGCATTGCAGTAGTCCATTCTAGAGGTGACCAAGGCGTGGACCACCCCGGCCAGATCAGCCTTCACGAGGTATGGTCGCAGTTGGCGCACAAGTCTTAGTTGCGCAAAGGCCCTCCCGGATACCGCCGACACCTGGGCCTCAAGTGTAAGCGAAGAATCCAAGAGGACACCCAAACTGCGGACCTGTGACTTCAGGGGGAGTGTAACCCCGTCCAGCACAGGTGACCACCCTATACCCCGATCCGGTTTACGATCGACCAGGAGGACCTCTGTCTTGTCGGGATTGATCTTCAGCTTGTTCTTCCTCATCCAGATCGACACAGCGGCCAGGCACTCGTCCAGCACCTGAGAAGCCTCCTTGGAATTAGGTGGAAAAGAGTAGTAGAGTTGTGTGTCATCCGCATAAAGATGGCACCCAACTCCAAAACTCCGGATGACCTCTCCCAGCGGTTTCATGTAGATGTTAAAAAGCATGGGTGACAAAATAGAGCCTTGCGGGACCCCACAGGTCAAAGGCCAGGGGTCCGAGCAGGCGTCTCCCAGCTTCACCATCTGAGCTCGTCCCTCCAGGAAGGACTGGAGCCACGACAAAACCGTGCCCCCAAGGCCCATTCCGGAGAGACGGCCCAGAAGGATACCATGATCGATGGTATCGAAAGCCGCTGAGATGTCCAAGAGAACCAGCAGAGTCACACTCCCCCTGTCCAGCTCTCTGCGGAGGTCATCCACCAAGGCGACCAAAGCTGTCTCAGTACCATGACCAGGCCTGAAACCAGACTGTGACTGATCTAGGTAGTTAGTATCGTCCAGGAAACTCTGGAGCTGGGAGGCGACCACCCGCTCCAGCACCTTGCCCAGAAAGGGGAGGTTAGAGATCGGTCTGTAGTTACTCAGCACCGTGGAGTCAAGGGAAGCTTTTTTGAGGAGTGGGCGAACCACGGCCTGCTTCAAGTTAGATGGAAAAATTCCTTGCTCCAACGATGCATTGATAATCAGTACAAACCAGTCAAGCAACCCCCCTCTGGCTGATTTAATGAGCCAAGATGGGCATGGGTCCAGAGAGGAGGTGGTCGCTCTCACAGCCCCAAGAATCTCCTCTACGGTTTCAGGAGGAACAAGCCTAATAGAATCCCACAAGATTGGACAAGCAGATGCCTCCGTCACCTCTTCTGGCACTGCGATGAAATTGGAGTCGAGCTCAAGGCGTATCTGGGTGACTTTACCTGCAAAATGGTGTGCGAAATCGCGACACCGAGCTGCTGGGTCATCAGTGACCTCCTCCACCACAGGTGGGTGGAGGAGTTCCCCCACGACCCGAAACAGCTCCGATGATCTATTTGTTGCAGATGCTATACGGGTGGTCGTGAATGATTTCCTGGCCACCCGTATAGCCACGGAATAAGCCTTAAGAGAGGCTTTAGCCCGTGCTCGATCAGATACAGCTCGAGATTTCCTCCATTTGCGCTCTAGCCCCCTTCTCGTATGCTTCATCACAGCCAGCTCCTCGGTGAACCAAGGAGATGGCCTGTCACGGCGCAACGAGATGGGGCGTTCAGGTGCGATCGTATCTAATGCCCTGGACATCTCCCCATTATAGAGAGCCACCAAGGCGTCGATAGAATCGCCAGGCTCCATGGCAGGAAGAACCCTAAGATTCCTCAGGAATCCATCCGGATCCATCAGTCTCCTAGGGCGGACCATCTTAATTTGTCCTCCACCCCTGCAGAGGTTTAGGGTCGCAGTAAGTCTAAAAGTGATCAGATGATGGTCAGACCATGACACTGGAAGGATGGTAGGGATAGCAGCAGCAGCAGCATGATAACACATGACTATATGATTTTTAATAGCACAATCAATAAAAACTATTTAATTTTTTCCTAGTGTTTCTGGCTGCCCATTGGCTGACAAAACATTGAAATCCTTGATGGCTGCCAACTCTCAAGAGCTTAAGTGAGTAGAATTTCTGAAGAAGTGGAAGGGCTGATAACTACTTTTATTCCATTAACAAGTCAACCCTCAGTCTTACTTGTTTAGCGACAAGTGAGATGTTTTGCATCCTACAGAACAGAGTTTTGTTCCAACGGAGAGGGTCTTTTGTAATTGTGAAGGTCTCTCCATGCATCTAGTGTTCAACACAGGAGGAGGACAACAAAAATTTAAAAGGGGGGAGTTGGGGCTTGTATAACTCCTCTTCTCATAATTTCACTGCTTTATGAATGTCTAAATAATAAGACTATATTTCTTACATAAGTGTGTGTACACACCCATAGATGTACATGTGCACATGCCTCAACATCTTTGCATCTCCTGTCTAATTAGCTAAGTTGGTTAGGTCTCATTGGCTTGAAATGGTCATTTTTTCCCACCTTTTCCACTTTGTTGTATAGGTGTCCTACTCCTGGATGTGATGGCTCTGGTCATGTGACTGGAAACTATGCCTCACACAGAAGGTAAGTATTCTTTATTTTATTGGGATTCAAAAGCCACTGGAAATTACATTACAAACCAAGGGGAATTAATTGATCCATTTTGTGTACTTGATTTCAGCTTATCTGGTTGTCCTCGGGCCAGGAAAGGCAGTCTCAAACTGACTCCTACGAAAGAGGAGAAAGAAGACCCTGAACTAAAGTAAGTGAAGTAGAAAAAACTTGGCATTGCACCTCACCATTTGATTGATATATCACAAAGAATATTCAGCTTTGGGCCCTTCTACACAGGTCCAAAACCTGCGACCCATCATGGGTTAACATGAAGTGTCCAAACAACCTCTCAGGTTAGCACTGATTAAGCCAAAGTAAACTGTGATTTCCCAGTTTACTTTGAATAAATAAAACACCTCAACAGATCTGGATCTTACTGAAAGGTCCAGATCTGTTGGAGGTACTGGGCCTGTGGGGACTGACTCCCGGGACCCCTTTCCATGACCCCAGGGGTAGATCCCCATTGCCATCCCAGTTCTTTGGGACCTAAGAGCTCAAAGGAGTGGGATGGGACACCCATCCTTCCTTCCCAGCTCCATTTGGCCCCTAAACTTAACAAAGAGGCCTGGCTGCATGCTCGGCCCCCTTTGTAAAGTTTGGAGGGCAAATGGGAAAGGGGGTGAGGGCTGGTTAGACACCATCGTGAGTCAACCTTTGGTTGACCTGGGAGGGCATGTAGCCCTTCCTCTTCAAAGGCACAGAGTTTGGACCAGCTGTATGGCCTCAATCCCAAGAGGAAATGGGACATAAAATCTCAGTTTCTATCAGGACTCGAGCCTGTGTAGAAGGGCCCTTGATGTCAGATTCATGAACATATATTATCTCTTCTCCTCAACTGTAAATCTAAATAAAATGTGAAAAGTTACGTTTTATGCCTTAAGGAACTGTGTTAGCTCAGAGGGTACTACATAATGGAGCTCCTCAGCTTTGGGAGCAAAGGAATAGATTTTTGAAAAGTTACATTTTGGACTAAATCTTCTGGAATCCACCCAGCCAAGTGGCCATGATCTTTAACGTAGCTTGCTTATAACAGCCACAATATATATACATTTGACCTAAAGCCAAGCACTCATGCTGAAACCCCTGATAATCAAACTGGAATCTTGTGAAGTTACATCTTTTTAATAGCCTTAGTTCTCTGGAAATTACAATTAGACCATTCTGAATAATCCATATCCAGTAGAGAACTTGTGCTACATTACTACATAGCAGAACCATCAAAATGCCTGGTGTACAATGGCTTCTTAATGTCTCTGCTACATAGCTAAGGATATGTTAAGGTAGTGGTGTAGATGGTGATATAAGATTCTGGCATTCTTTTGTAGATTCTGGGATGACTCCTGGTGGTACTCAATTGTAAAACAGACGTATGATAGAAATATTCAAGTGGAGTTCTTGTCATCCCTCCCCAAAACACTCATACACATAATTCCTAGTTTTATGTTTTGTTCTGTCATGTTTCATTTTCCATTATTCTAATTGCAACAAACATTATCAACATGAATGTCATTTGCATTCCAAATTTTCATTGTGGAGGTTTTAAAAACACTTACAACATTCATTAACCTAAAATAATCATGTAATTAAAAGCATCCAAACAGGTCATAAAGTAAGAATAACTAATAATACAAAAATATTCAAGAAGCCAGCATAAGAAAAAATAATGGAGTTAAATCTTTTTAATAAGAATAGTATTTATCATTCCTTTGTAAATGGAAAGGTAAGTGGGCTTAGAAAAAAAAGTTTTGACAGAACCATGAAGTAACTACCAAAAACTCCTGTTTATGGTGTCTGTTGTATAACAGAACCCATTAATATAATGGTAAGACTGATGCTTTAATAACAGTATATTAACAGTTTTCCTCAAAGTAGGTGTTCTCAAATTTACTTGAAAAACAGTTTTATAACGTAATATAGTTGCTACAAGGACATTTTCCCCCTGCAACTGTTGTCAAGTTGAAACTAACATACGTCTTGCTGTGCTTCTGCAGATGTCCGGTGCTAGGCTGTGACGGTCAAGGTCACATATCAGGTAAATACACTTCCCATCGTACTGCTTCTGGTTGTCCTGTGGCTGCCAAGAGACAGAAGGAGAGTCCACTGAATGGGTCTTCGCTGCCTTGGAAGCTGAACAAGCAAGAGCTGCCGCACTGTCCTTTGCCAGGCTGCAATGGGCTGGGCCATGTTAATAACGTTTTTGTCACCCACCGAAGGTATCGTATTGCATCATATTGTTACACCTTTCAAAAATGTGAATAGCTCATTGCAATGTACAGTACTTGTGTGGATTTAACCATTGATGATATTAAAATACTGTTGCTTGTTATAATTTCATGACTCCTACATTAAACACACTCTTTTCTGCAATTCTGCAAGATCCTGAGACCACCCAATCCTCTAACCTCCTCAAAAAAAGAAAGAAATTAACTAGCTAAAAATATCCCAAAAGGCTAAGAAACTGCCTGCAAATGTGGTGGTTTACCTCAAATCACTGGAACTTTTAAAAAAATATCCTACAAGAAGTGAAAACCTTCACATCCATTTTTAAAAAAGGAATGCTGTAACTCTCTTAAGAGAAAACACAAGAGTAAAGATTTTCTGTAGTTCATAGGGACAACTCCAATCTCGTTGTTTTAGAATATCTTATTTTTTCTTCAGTTGTAGAAATCCATATATAATACAATCCTGCCCCAACCATGGATATCTACAGTTTCACTGACCCACACTCAGAAGAGTGTGTGGGCCTCTCTAGGTCCTCCAGTATAATTCTATGATATACTTCCCACCCAAGTATAATTAAAATATAGTATTTGCAATTACTTATTGTAACGATGCCACCAATTTGCAAAGAGGCCACCAGTTTGTAATGGTTTGTAAAGGAGCCACCACTTTGTAAGGACTTACTAAATTGATAACACAACTAATTGTTGTTGTTCATTCGTTCAGTCGTCTCCGACTCTTCGTGACCTCATGGACCAGCCCACGCCAGAGCTCCCTGTCGGCCGTTACCACCCCCAGCTCCCTCAAGGTCAGTCCAGTCACTTCAAGGATGCCATCCATCCATCTTGCCCTTGGTCGGCCCCTCTTCCTTTTGCCTTCCACTTTCCCCAGCATAATTGTCTTCTCTAGGCTTTCCTGTCTCCTCATGATGTGGCCAAAGTACTTCAACTTTGTCTCTAGTATCTTTCCCTCCAGTGAGCAGTCGGGGTTTATTTCCTGGAGGATGGACTGGTTGGATCTTCTCGCAGTCCAAGGCACTCTCAGAACTTTAACACAACTAATGGCTTGTAATATTGAATTGGTCTTTCTTCAATGTGTAGCATGGCTAAACTTGAAAGTATTTGTAACAGAGACTTGGCTTTAGAAGAAACTGTAACAAGTTTATTGAAGTATAGAAGAAGCTTGATGGCTTCAATGTTTCTTAACTCTTAGAGGCACATTTCTTCAGTGGTTACATTTAATACATTTCATAAAACAACTCTTAAGAGGACTATTCCTTCCATTAAACAGGTTTCAAACTTATTTTCCTTCAAAATGTGTTTCTTTCTTTAACAGATTACTTCGGGTACAAGCTTATTATTTCCTTATGTTATTTCTGTTGCAGTAAAGATTCTTATTAGGGTTATCTCCCCCTTTTGCTCATACACTGACTAATAATATAAATAAGTCAACTTGACCTATCTAAACTACACAGGCTAAAAGCCAAAATCTTTCTGATTCTTAACACAGTAGAATCAGCCTTTCCCTGTAGTTCTTAGACTACAGACCACCTTTCTGGTTCTCAACACACAACAGAACCAGCCTTCCCTGTAGCTCACTGACTACAGACTAACTGTTTTAAAATGGCTGCCCTGCCAAGTGGCAGTTGGCTCCGCCCCTTTTTCCATGGCAACCCAGCTCAGAGTGAGCTAAGCTGGCTACCATCCCCCAGTTATGCTAGTTTAAATACTTACCCTTTTAAACACCTATCTATAATTATACATAACTGTAGATTAAAATTCACACTTCACCACACTTATAGTCTCAATTGCCCGGGGGGGGGGGGCTTGGTATGTATCCTCTACAGATATGGGGGTCATATTATATGTGCTGACCTGAAGGGGAAACATACCTATATTTCCACCTTTCTTAATTTTCATGGACTTTCTAAAGTTGACTCTTATGTTGTTCTGCTAATGGTTCAAGTTCAAGTTCAAAGACTTCACCGATCAAAATCTTTGACCAGGATACTATAGGTTTGTTCCATTAATGGAGCTGGTTCTGTCAAAAGAATAGTAGCTGGCAGCCCTCCTTTCCAATAATTCTTCCACTTCGACCTCAAAGTCTTCTCTGAAGTGTTGGGACTTACATCTCCAGAGATGGTATGGGCAATGTGGATAGCTGCTACAGTGACAGAAGGGAAATAAAATATTGTTGTCATACTAGCAGCCAGTCACAAGTGTAATGTTTGAAATGAGTCATGATTTGTAGTTTTGTTACTAAACCTAGAGGGTTTGCATTACTACTTTAGCCACAGCTGGAACTGGACTAGAAGTGATTTACTGTTTATCATCTTAAGAAGCCCCTGAGTTACTACCCAACCAGTTATGTCACTGGCAATCTTGTGCACCTGATAATAATATAACAGTATTATTATGGGATTACAGTTTGCAGAAAACACAATACATTGGAAACAATTTGAGCAGATGACTTGGGGAGCAGGAATCAAATTCTGTTTCAACTTTCATATAGGTTCCCTTTCCTACTCTTTTCAGTTTGTCTGGATGTCCTCTGAATGCACAAGCCTTAAAAAAGGGCAAGATATCTGAAGAATTAATGACCATCAAGTTGAAAGCAAGTGGAGGTAAGAAGATGTGAATGCAAGAGTGAATGAATCAAAATGAAGACCATGAACCTCTCTTTTCCTAGTATCAGCTATTCTGATTAGCAGCAGAGACTGGAAAAGTTACTTTTTATTACAATTCGCACTCTCCTCGAGTCAGCATGGCTTCTGCTGATGGAACCTGTAGTTTCAAAATGTAAGATTTCTAAACCGAGCATTACTTCTCTGAACCAAATGGCAGCAGTCAAATTACTTGATCATTACTTTTCTTTATTCTTGTATAAGTCTTTAATCTGCTGTGTTTGCTAGCAAAAACTCAGATTCTGATTTCTTTACAGATAAAATTTATGTCTAAAATACAGGATTGTAAGAATCATTTCAGGGCTGGAAACAAGTAGAAAAATCATTAACAAGTTAACTATAGAAATAAATAAAAGGTAAAGGTTTTCCCCTGACATTAAGTCCAGTCATGTCGGACTCTGGGGGTTGGTGCTCATCTCCATTTCTAAGCCAAAGAGCTGGTGTTGTCCATAGACACCTCCAAGTGTCTATATTTCAGCAGAAAGCTGGTGAAAAAATAAAAAAAAAACAATTAATATCAGGTCTTATGCAAATTACATTGATTTACTTGAAGGATCACTTGTCAGGGAAGAACACTACACTTGCTTCTTTTTAACTTACATGACATAATAAGAATCTTGACAATGACTCTGATAAGTATAAGATTAAATTGTATGCATTTATTTTTCATACTAAAGAAAAGGACCAGTAGTTTTTTCAAAAGTGTGTGTGCTTGTGTACATTGTACTATTAGATGTAGATTATTATTTGCTCATCTTTTCAGGCATGTGTTGTTTTGATCTTCATTTGGTTACATTTCCATGCAGGTTTAGAAAACGAGGAGGAAATAAGACATTTGGATGAAGAAATAAAAGAACTGAATGAATCTAACCTAAAAATTGAAGCTGACATGATGAAACTTCAGACACAGGTGAGAAAGAAAATCCTTGAGTGAGCTTTACGAATAGTAATAATTTTGACATGGATCAAGTCACAGAACTGGTGGACTCAACTTCATGTTGCCCATCAGGAAATTGACTTGGTATTCATGCCATAATTGTATGCATAGATCTGGCATTGGAAGCATGTGGAAGTATGCAAACCAGGTAGTGTTATGGTAAAAGCGTGGCAAACTGTGTAAGTTATTGTTATAGTTAGTGAGGTTTAAACTAAATGAGTTCATTTCTCAAAGAGAGATGCATATAATCAAAATTAAAATATAAACACATGAAGCCTCTATTCTCACCAGAGAAGCCTCCCACAGCATGGTAAAACATCCGGGCATCCCCTGGGCAACATCCTTGCAGATGGCCAATTCTCTCACACCAGAAGCGACTTGCAGTTTCTCAAGTAAATTCTGAAATGGAAAAAGAAACACCAATGAACTAATAATTTATTCTGATAAGCACCCAGTCCTGCAACTTGAAGTCATTTTACCAAGAGATAGAAGGACCTGAAACTATGCTCAGCTCTCTGTGCTTTACTTTCAAGGCCTCCAGTGTACCTCCTGTGCATCTTTCTTTTTCATTTGATATTGCTGTTGAGTGTCCTTATTCACACATGTCCATGTAAATGTACACCCATGACATCCATTTATTAAATAATGAAGCACAAAGCGAAAGCAGAGAAATTAACTCACTGCTAAAGTTTAAGAATAAACCATACAAATTTTATTTCCTCACATGTATTTCCAGAAAGCAGCAATAGGAATGATTAGCATAACAAGTCCAAATACTTCACTGACAGATTGTTTCCATTAGCCACGATAAGGCATGAGAAGATGGATACAGGTTGTTATGGTCCACAAACCAACAAACCAAAGGGGGTACTCAGGAAATGGTGAGACAATCATTAGAGACCTAAGCAGAAAATGAGCCCACAGAAGTACAATTCAAAGGTATCAGATAAAGGATAATAAAGTTGGAGCAAGTATCTTGCTACAGAGTAAGAGGAATAGTATCAAGAGAATGCTACTCCCAACCCCAAATCACTGGCCAAATGACAAGTCAACTCTGACATATATCCCATTGACTGAATAGGTGTACTTTAATCAGAACTAGTTTGGTAGTCCTGGCTGGATGTAGGTCAAGCCACTCTTCATTATGAACAACCAACAAATTGGAACCCGGGAATTACTTGTAAATGGAGAATGCAGTCAAAAAATTAAAATGTTAAATAATGATTATTGGAACATACTCTCCTTGAATCCTGACTCACACAAAGAAAACAGACAACACACAAATTTGGAGAAAAGTAAGGGCACTTAGAAGACTGAGAAGAGAAGCCAGTTATGTTTTGGGGCTACTTGGTACAACTTGCCAAGGAAATAATGCATAAAATCTTGTCTGCAGAAAGAATAATAAACACACAAACCACAGTTAGCCAGTAACTAATAACTGTCCTATTTAGGGATATAAATTCTGCTCACTGGCAATAATGAAAAAATTTATTATTTGTTCATCTCAATATGAGAAAATAATTGTAAACTGTACATATTTCAAATATCATTCACAGTTCAGGACTAATTCTGCTCAAGAAAAATTCAAATTTTTTGCATTGTTCTCTATGCAAGAAAACTGGTCCTGAACTTCCTTTCTATGCAGAATATTTGTTTTTGTGCAGGGAAATGTTTTCTGGGGATATTTTTTTTCCCTGAGAAAATATGTTTTTCTGAGTAGAAATTTTCTGTCCCCCAAAAATCTATAAGCATTTTCATATAGAATACATCCAGAACTGTCTGATATTCTCCCTATCAGTTTCCTGAGACTTTTTCTCTTTTTCTTTCTGTTACTATTTTAATAATAATAAATAATAAAACTTTATTTATACCCCGCCACTATCTCTCAAGGGGACTCGGAGCGGCTTACATGAGGCCAAGCCCAACAGTACATCAATAAACAAAAGCAATAAACAAAAACAATAAATACAATACAATTAATATAAATCACATATAAACAATAAACAGTAAACAGTAACACACAAGGATTTAAAAACCTATGGCCAGGCCAAATGTAATAGTTTAAAAATTAAATGCTGGGCACGAACAAGGTAGGATATAACTGGTATATGGTTTTCAAAGAGAGATGAGGGGACGCAGTCAGTCCTAAACCAGTAGTAAAGTGCATTCTGAGGGCATATTGCTGAGAATGTTCCTTATTCTGGGAAGGCACACTGGAACAACCACGTTTTTAGGCTCCTCCTAAAGACTGCCAGAGTTGGGGCATGCCTAATGCTCTTGGGAAGTGAGTTCCAGAGTCGGGGGGCCACCACCGAGAAGGCCCTCACCCTCGTCCCCACCAATCACGCATGCAAAGGAGGTGGGAGCGCAAGCATTTTAAAATATTCAAATTGGATCTTTGTGAATCTCTGTGAAATGGATGTTTCCTTAAGAGCAGTAAGGGATGATTCTTGTGTTTGGGAACACAAGGTTGCATGGTCTTTTGCTCAATATGAGATCAAGGTGGCACAAGCAAAAGAGAAAAACTGTAACCTTAGAAAATGAAAGAAGGAACTACCTACCTCATATTTTTATTTAAAGCAGAACGTAAGCCAGGCACAACTTGAATAACTCACTGAACAAGTCCATCTGCACTGACTTCCATGAGCAAGAAGTGGACTCATGCAATTATAAGCTTATCTCCAGATGTATCAGGGCAATAACCCTTAACCTTCCCATAGCAAAGAGGAGCCTTTCATACATTTCTAGCCACTTCCTTGAGTTAGTGCTGGGATAACATAAACCATGTTTCAAGAGATAATTTCAAGAGATTTGCTTAATTAATTGTAATGTTTCCATTGATATTTACTATTGTAGTTTTTGTAAAATTTCCACTACTTTATTTTTTTCCATGGAAAATGTACCATTTTTAGAAATGCATTGTTTCATAGAATTAATTGCAACACAATGGATGAAAACAATACTGGACAAAGTGGAAAACTGGAATTAATATAATACTATTTTAGTCTAAAATCGAAAGTCATTGTTAACTTTAGTTCACTCAGTCTGAGGGAAGCATATATAAATGCGTGCAGCTCTTGAAGCATGCCAACATTTATATGTTAAAAGATTTTAGCCCCTACCTAAATAAAAGTAAAATGATGAAATTGTGTCTGATTAAGAGGGAATATATTGACAACAATTCTGATAAATGCTATTATTTGTCTGGAATTAAGTTTAGATAACTTCCATTCACATTGTTTATTTCTCCTTTAGTAAAATATTCTAGTTCAACTACTCTTTGACTACTCCAAAAACCTTTTCATGCATTAATGCAAAACAAAGCAAAAATGCAACAACACCAAATTTATAAGTTTTGTTTGCGGAATAGAAGTCAAAGAAACATGCCTAAATAAGATTTCTATTTATTTTGAGTTGCATTTTAAAATCTGGAGTCTTTTCATCTTCATCCATCCTCCACACCCCCTAGGAAATGCAATTCATAGATATGTAGAATTGTTCCAAAAACCTACCCTTTATATTCTTAATTTTTAATATAATTTGGCCTTCTAGTATTGAAAGGTTTGGTGTTGCAAGACCCACATGGAAGTGAAAAAATGTATATTATCTCTAAGCTCTTTAAATCACACTTGACTCACATGAGTGAACAAACACACATTGATGTGTTTGGGACCAGAAATCCCATCACTTCGGTTTTCTTCCAGCAACACTGGTGCTGTCAAAGTCTTTGTTAAAAATGGCGCAGGGCATCAGTAGAGATAGCAACAAATATGATAATCCATGAATAATAACATTTGCAAATGCTTAACCCACAAATGGGCAGGCCAACTGTGTAGAGAACATGCCTTGCCTCTCACCCCATGGATCAGGGGATCCTTAACATTTTGGCTCCATTGATCCCTTTGCCAATCAGGTGAAAACCACAGAGTTGTTCTCAGAATGTAGCAGCAGATAATTTTATGACACCCAACATTGACATGTCTTTAAATTAAATTTTGGAATTATTCAAAATTACATTTGTAGTACCAGTTTCACATGGCGAAACATCTGTTCACATGATTTTTCAGGCTATGCAACAGCCGTAATGTGATATGAAATGAATACAACTGTAATTTATTGCATGGACTCATACATGAAGGAAATGTTTGATTTCAGTTAGAGGTCAAAGAAAATAAAAATAATAAATGTATTCCATTCAAGCTCATGGGCCCCCTAAAATCTTTCTACAAAGCCCAAGGAGTCTGTGGATGCCTGGTTAAAATCCCCTGCCATAGATGCCAAACATGGCTCTGTCTAAGTCTGGCCCTTAGTTTTTCAACAAATTAATCACCTCATGGAATACATGAACTATATAAACATAACATTCCTTATTCCCATCCCTTGATTTCAACACATCTCAAAAGACTGGGGCGGGGGGGGGGGGGCAATTTCTGTCAGATGTAGATTAGAGTGACTAGCTGCAATACAAGTTCTTTTATTTTGTATGTTTTTCTTTTCTTTATTTCTTCAAATCTTCAGTTCCACCCTGTTTCTAATTTCAGTCATTCCACAACAAAACTTATCCCAGGAAACTACTCTAAAACTCATATCAGGGCTGCTGCTATTGTAGTGAATCAGCAGGGATTCTGTAAGAAAAAGACAGCAATGTAAATAGCAGTGCACTTGCTTTTCAATCTTTCTATGCCTAAAGGCAAAACTCCGTTTTTAACCAGACACTGACCTCCTCCCACATTGTCAGCTTGAGGCTTTGTGGCCTTTCATGCATTTCATCAATTTGTGAACTCACTTCCCACAAATAATGCTCTTTTCACCCATCAGGGTCACTGTCTAGAATTTCATTTCAACATGTTTTCCTTGTGGAGCAAAAGCAGAAGCCATTCATTGGTCTGGAAATGGCATAACTTGCCCCAATTAGGTGTGCCTTGTGACACTGATGTGCATGTAACTGAAAATACTTTGAGATTTACTTTGCACGGACATCTTCTTAAGTGTGCTGTTTCCTCCGAGTGGCATGTTGCCAATAGATGTGTTTCAGGTCAAGAGTCATACCGTTCACATTTTGCTATAAATCATTTTGCTTCATCATTCCAGATAACATCTATGGAAAGCAATCTGAAAACAATAGAAGAAGAGAACAAACTTATAGAGCAGAACAACGAGAGCCTGTTAAAGGAGTTGGCTGGCTTAAGCCAAGCCCTCATTTCCAGTCTTGCCGACATTCAGCTTCCACAAATGGTATGTCTGGGGCTGAGCATGTAGGCATTACTCTGAAAGTCCAAGGGCAACATGGTAGCATATCGCAGGTCTGCCAAAGATGTACAGAAGTTGTGTACAGTCCATCTTGCCGCATAGTGAAAAAGTGAGCACCAAAGACTCTTGTGTATGTTTGTGTGTGCCCCATGAATTTAATAGGTTTTTCTTAGGCAAAGAATACTCAGATATGGTTTTTCAGGTGCCTTCATCTGAAATACAGTCCACAGCACCAGGTGTTCACTATCTGAATACAAACCATGGCTGAACCTACTTAACTTCCAAGATCAGACAGGACTTGATGTCTTTGGCATATTTACCCCAAATAGCTATCATAGATTTAAGCATGGAAGAAAAATATTTCCAGAATAAGGAAAACATATTTGAAAACTAGGAGTCACTTTATATTAACCTATAGGATTAGACATTGCTTGCTAATTCAGTGTATTCCAAAAACCACTTTGGAAAGTCTTTTTTCTTTCAAAAGTTGTTTGTAGTACATCATTCAAGCTAACATTCAAAATAATTCAAGAAACACAAAACCAACTGTGTGAATGATTCATTACATAATTTTTGAATCTTAGGGTGCATCCAGACAGCCCTTTAACCCAGGAAGATTCATTTTTAAAAAACACGAATGTTCCCGGGTCCTAAACCACACATGCTTTATGGGCCAGGTGTCCAAATGCACTCCCAGAACCTTCCAGGAAAACACCCAGATGCCCTAACACCCCCTAGCCCCCCCCCCAAAAAAAAACCCTTTTAAAAATAAAAGAACTTGCTCGGCATCTATTAGCATGGTGCCAGAGCTCTCCTGGTGCATAAGAATGATGCGCCAGGAGAGAGGGCCAGGAGTGACTTTCCTTCCCCCCCCCCCCCACCATTGTCCTGGTGCATCATTCTTATGCACTAGGAAACTCCAGCACCATGCTAATGGAGGCCGGGTAAGTTCTTTTATTTAAAAGGYGGGTTTGGAGAGGGGACTGGTGTCTAGGCTAATTTAGGCAGGAAGTATGTGAGACTACWGACTGGACTTCTCCCGCKAAAGTCKAGAAGTTTAGAGGGAGCAGTACACACAGTGGAAGTAGTGAGTTTGTCCAGTGCCTTCCAATAAGGCACAGAATAAATCTGCTAGCAAATTAATTCACAACAAACCAGAGTTTGTGGTTTGTGGCAAATGAATTCATTTTTCTGTGGAACATCATCTGGATGGCCCACTTTAAAGTGTGGGAACTCCCACTTTAAAGAGGCTATCTAGATGTGCCCTCAGTCTCATTTTTTTTGGGGGGGGGAAGGCTGCAAAAGAGCTTTGGTAAGGATCCAAAAATCATGATCCTCATGGGATCATTATAATCTTGATTTAAATTCCAAAAAAAATGTGGAATGTTTTTGTTCTAGGGGCCAAAATGACTTTGAACTTTGATTTCCAAATGAGTAGCCCATTTTTTTTATTTTGGAAAGAGAATCTTCATTTCAAAAGTACTTTGTGATAGGACATAGTAACAGATTATATGTTTCAAAGAAAGAACATTTCTTTTTTAAAAAAAACAAAACAAAACAAAAAAATCCAACAAAGCATCCACTGGATTTTGACAGGCAATTTCTGTACCTGAAATAGCTTTTAGATTTCTAGTAAATGTCTAGAACTTGGTATGCTTACTGGTTGCTCAAGGGCCTGCATATGAGATCAAGCTTAAGTTAATGGCATATATTCAGATAACACTGCCTTTTTGGAGCTGAGACCAGCAGTTTCTTCAAATAATAGTAAAATACTGGATGCTTTATTATAATAAAACACTGGCTATCTCAAGAATAGTACCCACCCCCACCCCCACCCCCGTGTTCAATCTATTTGGCAGAGCTTTGATATTATGGCTGTGTTTTGGTCTTGCTTGCTCAGTGAAGCTGGAGCAGGGGAATCTAGAGCAATGAACAGATAAAATTTGTCAATTCACAAAATATGGTAAAACAGCATTAGATACCTGGGTCATGAATGAGTTTCTCTGGGGTTTGTTGACACTGGTTTCTAATGAAGAAAACATTTAAATGACAAGCTTATTTAAATGTCCATGGTGAACTGAACAGGCCATAGAGAAGCAAAATTCTGAAACACAAGTAGTCCATCTGAGATCTTCATCGTATTTTTATAAAATCCTTGGTTTAGTTTTTAAAAATCACTTCTGAGCTATGATCAGAGCTTTGAAAAGTTATATTTTGGGTGGACTGCAAATCTCAGAAAACTTTGGAAGTTTTAAGATTTTTGCTGGAAGGCTTTCTCTTGGTTTTACCACAATCACCAGCACATTTGGCGAGGACACAAAAGAGAGTCTTCTTGGCTGCTCAAAGTAGAAGGTTTGATTGACATAATCTCTCCTTTACTTTCACTGGCAGGCAAATATTTTTATTTTAGGCCTATAACATATGTGAAAAAATGAGTTTTAATGAGCTTACATTTTTATCTTCTTTACTATGTTTTAATCCTGTTTTTTATTGTAATCTTGTGTTTATAAGTGAATTGTCATTAACTTTTATGGGAATAACATTTTAACTGGTTTTAAAAATGTTTTAAGCAACTTCAGATAAATTGAATAAATAAATGAAACAAATTGTTTCTTCCCTAACAGTATTCTAGGCAAAAAGAAAAATAAAGCAAAAGAGATAAAAATAAAATAAAAGGGAGCATGAGAAAGACCTAAATATGTCCAAACGATAGAATGGAGATGAATAGTAAAAAGAGGGGAGTGCTCTCTCCTTTTTGGTTTTATCTCCATTCACCACACATTTTAACTCCACACACTTCCTGGTATGCAACGAAAAGAGGTTCCCAATCCTTTGGTATATGTCATGGGTGCTGTAGTTCATCTCTAGGTTTTATTCCAAACTTTTATACAAACTCTTCAGAGTACTGAATCTGGGTATTATTATATTTTTTTTTTTGGGGGGGGGGAGTGGATTTAGCACCTTGACTAGCTCCCTTAACATCATAAATAAGACTCTGAATGGAGCCACTGTACCATTGCCATGGAAGCCTGTTCTCACTCTTACTTCCTTTACAAATATAAGACATCATTACACAGGAGCCTCCAGTGGCACAATGGGTTAAGCCCTTGTGCTGGCAGGATTGCTGACCAATAGGTCAGCGGTTTGAATCCAGGGAGAGCTGGTTGAGCTCCCTCTGCCAACTTCCATGTGGGGGCATGAGATAAGCCTCCCACAAGGATGGTAAAACATCAAACATTCAGACATCCCCTGGGCAATGTCCTTGCAGATGGCCAATTCTCTCACATCAGAAGTGACTTGCAGTTTCTCAAGTCATTCCTGTCATGAAAAAAAATATCATTACACAAAGCGGGCAAACCAGCCTTAAAGCCTGTTTTGCTTCTGTGCTGACTTACCAGTACTTAAGGAATGTTGGAATGTAATTTTCCTCTTCTTCCCCTTTCCCCTCACTATTCCCCAAGCAATGAGGCATATGAAATTTAACTTTTTTTTTTTACTAAACTTAGCTAGAATTGTAAAATTGTTGTTTAAAAACATTATTAAAACATTTATGGAGTGCAAAGTTACCAAGCTAAGTGAAAGTATGGTTGCAGGACCCTGGAGTGGTGAATTGGCACAGTTGCAAGAATCTGGAGAGGTATGATAGCAAGGGTGATCATTGCAGCATATTGCTCCTATCAATTATCACATGATTGCTGTGGAATAACAGCTTCATGGAATAAACTCAATACTCTCCTGTTGACAGTTTCATTTACTAGGTGAAAGCATGCTTCTTCCAACATACTTCCACCTGATCCATGCCAGCTGAGAAAACAAAGTGCTGCTTCTTTTTTGTCTCCGGTGTTGTAGTTATCACACTGAAATTTGACTTCCATATTTTGTCTTCATTTAGGGCCCAATCAGTGAGCAGAATTTTGAAGCATATGTAAATACGCTGACAGACATGTACAGTAATCTGGAAAGGGACTATTCCCCGGACTGCAAAGCCCTGCTGGAAAGTATCAAACAGGCAGTGAAGGGTATCCATGTGTAGAATCCAGAAGCTGCTGGGAAATAGGAGTTACGTAGCAGCAGCGGACTCCCGATGGATCTGTGAAGAGTCCCTGGACTGCTTAGGAGTATTGATTGCTGTGCTGCTTTTCTAGTTACAACATTGCACTATTTTTTTTCCAGCTGACATAAAAAGGACAGAAAACATAAGACTATTGTATTAACAGCAATGACTCAGATCACAGAATTTGTTTATTTCTGTACAAATCCTTTTTGTTGTCATCACTGTTGTTTTGCACTCTTTTAATTTTGTATAGTGAATGTAAAAAAGTGTGCGTAACTATTTTTTTACATTTCTAAGTTTATTTTCAATCCGAGTTTTGTGTGTGCGTATGTGTGCTTTTAAAAAAGTCTTTTAACTGCATTTCTGCAGCCTGCCATATTTTTACAAATATGTTTGTTAATTTATTTTCCAGTGGGATTTTAAATAGTTCGAAAGTTATAGTGTAAATTAAATAATTTGCTGGGTTTGTACAGAAGGAAAAGGGGGAGAACTATGAAAAAAACAAAATACCAGAACTGTGATACTAGTTTTATTTTCGCCACATCCTGCTTTTTTATAACAGCTTTTTTTTAATGAAATAAGAAATGGATTTGCAATAGCTTGAGAAAGGTGCAAAGAACCAGGGATATAAAGGTGAATGGTGCCCTCTTCTGGAGGAACTTCATCTCATTGAGCACAGCATGTTGTAAGCGTTAAAGAATTTTTAAGCAATAAATGAAATATAGCAATCAGCAAAGCGTAGGACTTGGCTTTGTGTGTCTTAGCCAGCAACTATTCAAGGGAAGGGTATATTTATTTAAGGAATTCCCCCACCTCCCATTTCACATTCATTGAGGTAGAAAAAAATCATTTCTCTCCCCTTCAAAGTGGTAAGATTTGAAATGTCCTGTAGCTTTTCGGTAGAGAGCTGTGTAAGCACATTGGCCGACTGACCAATATTGAGGTGATTTCGTATTGGAAAAAAACACATCCCAGGATGATGGTTTTATGCCTACAATTCAGCCAAGATTTTCTTCCCTGAATGGACAGCAATTACATATAGCTTGGAGAAAGAAACAGAATTCTTTAATTCTGTTTTACAAGGAAGGGAACAATTCTCACTGCAGTGAAATGAGGCTGCCTATGTGCAATGCATAACGATGACACTGAAGCAATGCAGTCACTGTTATAAAATGTTCAACTACAGGTCCCACAATCCACTAGCCATGTGGGCTGGAAGTTTCCAAAATTGATTTTACCCTGGATATGTTTTTGAATACATTATACATCAATGTTTCAAAGTAAGTCGTATTAAGATAGATAGGACTTCACATTCAAGAAAATAGTCTCACACTAGCAGATCTATTTGAGATAGGAGGCGGGCTGATACCAAGCCAGAAGGTATATCAGTCCAGCTAGATCAGTATTGTCTAATGTCTATAGTGACCAGCAGTGATGTCTCAGAAACCTTTCCAAACCCTACTAGAAGAAACCAAGGATTGGAGCTCTGACTTTCTTCATATGAAAAAAAAAATCTCACCACTGAGTTCAAATTCACTGTTTTTAGATGCCTTCCCCAAGCTGTCCACCTTCCAGATACGTGGGCTACAACTCCAATCATCCTATTGCCATGCCAGTTGTTATCCAGCCCATTGGGAGGGTATCAAAGTGAGAAAGTCTTGTGTATATAGGCCTGCATATGTTTTACTACTGAGGACAATCCCTCTCCTCATCAGTGTATATGTGTGCACAAAGCTTTCTCATATGCTGGAGTCAAAAGTGAAGCTTTGAAAGGTAGAAGGAAACTTGTGCTCCTATCAGAGTCATTTATGTCAGTTGATTAGATTGCAACTTAGTTCTTAACTGCAGTTGAAGATGGTCTTGGTTTTTACAGATTATCATTTGTTCAGACAACAACAAAGAAATGTTGCTGGACATCAACTGCTGTTGGCCAACATGGCCAATACTGACAGAATATAGGAGCATTGAAAATTGCCCAATATATTTTTATCTGATTGGCAGAAGACCTTTCTCAGTCCTACTAAGAGAACACTGGTGTTCCCTGAACTATATGTGTACTGCACCATTCTGGCAGTTTGATCCTACTTCAACTGCTATGCCTGCATCCTATGGAATTCTGACATTTATAATTTTGTGAAGTACTTTAAATTATCTAATCAAAAATGTGTTCTACCGAACTATAACATTAGAGCTCTTTCTAGTAAAGAATTCTCAGTACCACAACCACAAATCTCAAGATTCCATCGGAGAGAGCCATGATAATTAAAATGGGATCAGAGAGCTATAACACTGTACCATGATCTCCCATCCAAGTACAAAGCAGGCTTAACTCTATTTAGCTTCTGAAATTCAAATCAAGTCTTATTAAGGTGGTATGATGAGAACTTCAGTCGGACACCATCTGGAGTTACATGAGTGTCCCAACTCTGTCCTGGGGAGATCTCTCTTATGTGCTGCATTTCTTAGGCACCCACTCAGAAATGCAGAGACACGTGTCCCAAGTAAACCATTTTCAACAATATTCAGTAGCTAACAGTAGCAGTCCAATATCTATTTCAAGGAGTATAAGTAACACAACGTTTTCCTACGCCACCAAATTTTTGCATTGTTTCAAAGGAAGGTATAAACAGCTCAACTGCCTGGCTTTGATGGCTTTCTTTGTTTTTTTTTCTTTTGATTGTTTGTTTTTGGTATGCACACATGTCTCTTGTGCATAGGTGCCTCAGTGTAAAATGTATACATGGATCTAGCGTGCATTTTAATTTTTCTGTGCTACAATTAAAGTGTTTATTTTTCTTTGCCTACTTGAGATCTCAGTTTGGATGTGACAGTTTACAGTCATCACTCATACAATGATATTATAATGTTCTTATCCAAGAGTGCTTCTCCAAGGTCATTCAACTTTCATACACTGTGGTTGCTGTTCCGCATTAGGTGAGGCTTGCTGTTCATGTGGGGATTTGATTTGGCCCCCAGACTTTAGTTTAGACAGGAGAAGTGTATGTTCTTAGAAGCGGTGTTTATTTTTAAAAGAAAACAATTTGCAGAAACTGCAGTATGTGCTAATATAAAATAGAACACCAAATTGCTATTAAATTATTGTACTTGGTTTTTTTTAAAGAAAAGACACTTGCTATACCTGTTGAATGCATACAAAATGAATTCATTTGTGACAGAGATTAAAGTTTTAGTTTACTAAATATTTTAAGAAATATGTTATATATTTAATTTAATTTAATTTAAACAATCTCTTACAGACCTATTTATTACTATGATTTACCTATGGCTTAAGTTAATTTATCTGTGTTTGGATTGTTTGCTCAGGATGAACCTTCATATTTATTTGCCTTCTTTGTACTTGATGTTTTGTAATGTGCACTGTGATTTCTCCTCCCATTTCCTTTCTGTTCCTGTATTAATTTACATTGATGAGCTATCCTGTAAATTAGACCTTTTGTAAAGCGCAATGATGTATGCATTTTTTCTTTCATTTTTTAATTTCGGAATAGTTTGTATACTGTTTCTTCATACAATTAATATTTCTTACATCAATACAACAAAACTGTGTTCTGTGCTGTACATTTGGTGTATGGTAGGAAATAAAATTGATACTGAAGCAAGTTTCACAGTTTCTTTGGTGTTGTCACTTGTCATGTTGTCAATTGCTAACACTTATGAATTTTTGCTGAGCCATATATGTTTGCTTTGTATAGTTCATGTGTCACTTCCCTAAAGGGTAAACTCAAACACAGCCTTCCAGATGTACTTTATAACAACTTTAATAAAACGCAGCAAGGATAATCATGGTTGTAGTCTAACATATGTAAATAATATTGGGCTGGAGAAATCTCATCTAGCATGACATCCAGCTTTGACTTTTCCATTGGCTTCTGATTGGATACTCAAGAAAGTTAAGTATGAGCTAAACTGTCCTTTAGTCTGATTTAGCACATAATTTTTTTCTGAATTGAGATATATTGATCAGATTAACAGGGTCCTTCATCGCAAATGCTCTTTCCCAAGGGTACTGTATTATTGCCATATTTAGAACAGTAAATTTACTCATTCATACATTTCATCTGTGTCACAGCCATATGTTAACTTGGTTTTTGGTCACTGTTCTTTCTATAAGGAACTTGTAATAAATAGTTTTAAATTCAAAATATGGTATGGTGAGCACATGTGAAATCCACATATATCATTGGGGAACAAATAAACTTGTAGCTGACCCCTCCTCCCCTAGCCTTCTTTTTGGCATTTCATTAAAGAAAGCTTCTAAATACTTTCAAATGAAACTGTTCTAAGTTTCAGGGAAATACCGTGTTGAAGAACAATATGAGAGCCTAAAACAAAACAAATTAATATAGCATGTCCATAGAACTAAAAGAAAATATGTTTTGATTTTTGCTATATTCCACCAAAATATAGTGAGTACCAGGAGTAAACTTTAAGCAGGAATAGCCTTTAACCTTTAGGATGGCTAAGCATTGCAGAATCAATCTTTAGGTTCAAGTGATTTATTAAAGCAAAAAGAAATACATTCTTGATAGAAAAGTCTTGGAGCTAACTAACTTACTAAATCTCATCTTCTAAAGGTGGTAGAAGGCAAAAAAAATCAATGCAGTAACATTTTGTCTAATAAAATGCATCCTTACAGGGAGAAAGAAAAACAGAAGAACTAACATGGTGAAGACCACATGGCCTTCCCAGAGCAATTTAAGCTCAAATGAAAGTTCCCTCACATGTTTTCATTACTACGTCATCAATGTGTTTGCGTGTGGGAGGGGTGGCACAGTGGCTAGCAGTAAAGACAAAGACAAAGACAAAGTCCTTTAGGAACCATGCACAGGAATGTGGGGGAAAGGAATCCCTGAGCTTGGCCCTGACTTTAGTGTAGCTACTAATTGATGACTAGAAACTTGATGAAACAAAGACTTGTGCAGTCCAAGGATGAAACCCAACAGACAGGAATGGGTGTGTGTGTGTTAAAACATTAATTGTGGATTGGATGAATTCTATTCCTCCATTATAATGAGACAAAAGGTGATGGAATAGAGTCTATGGCTTAACCTGAGGGAACAGCACAATAGATCAATCTGAAAGCTGGCAGTGTAGTCATGAGAGGACTGAATATGATCTATTTTAATTGTTAGGTAAATAAAATTGTCCTTTAGGAAACATGCACAGATGACCACCATAAGATTAGCTAGTGTTCTATTATTGACATATGCAAGTATATGCCCCAGGAGACTTATGGGAGAGTGTAAATGAGCTCTCTCTGTCAGCTTCAGCTCCCCATGCGGGAACATGAGAGAAGCCTCCCACAAAGATGGTAAAACATCAAAACATCTGGGTGTCTCCTGGGCAACATCCTTGCAGATGGCCAATTCTCTCACACCAGAAGTGAGTTGAAGTTTCTCAAGTCGCTCCTGACATGAAGAAGGGGTCCTTTTATACTCTTACAGGAAGAAAACAAAGTCCATTTGACAACCTACTGTGAAGAACTGGCAAGACACTTTGCAGACAAAATCACTTGGATCAGCTCCAAGTTGTGCTGTAATTGAGACAGGTGCAATGGACACAATCTTGGCACCAGCTTGTTCTGTAATATTGGGTATGTTCCAATTTGTGCAACCCAAGTATCTGCAGGATTCTTGGAGAGACAGGATTCATTACAAGTGCATTGGATCCTTTCTTGTCCTGGCTCTTTTTCCCGACCTGGCAAGAGGAGAAATGTTTTGTGAGTAAAGTGAATCGTGAATGC